GTAGTTGTAATTCAAAGTGGCTGTGACGCTTGTGCTGAAAAAGATTTTGCAGAAAGCAATAGCAATAGGTGATATGTTAACGATGATGTAAAACAAACATAAGTATCGACGCTCGCAGCTTGCGACGCACTACATTTGGCGGTCGCGGCTTGAAGCCTCGGCGACCGAAGCTGTCCCAGTCCAAAATGAAGAAAGGCGCGCCAGGGACTACCCGTCACCTGAGTACCAACGTGTCGCGGATCCTGCCGGTGGCCATGTCCTCGTCGGCGGGCTGCTCGTTTGACCTGGACCCGTGACAGTTCGATCATTGCAAACCCACTGGGCGCGGCGCGTGGCGAGTGCGGCCCCACCTGCTGCCCACCCGAGACCGGCACCAACCTCGTTAGTTCCAGTCCGCCGAACCGCCGCACCCGACAACGGCGAGGAAGGGAGAAAGTGATGACGTTCGGCAAAGCCGTCTCTGCGTGCCTGCCAAAGTGTTTGGACATGTATGCACACAAATACGAGATGCGCTTCTGCGTGGCCCTTGGTCGAACGACTGCAGTGGATCGCGACCATAAATACCGCGCGCCATCAGCAAAGCTCTCCGATTTGGACTCAGACGCGACAATGACGCACCATATCTTTCTCCAGAATTGCGGGCCGGTGTTTCAAGAACAAAATAAAGACGAAAGCATCATTTCCGGAGGATGATAAAACGTCGCAGCATTCTAAACATTGAAGTCCACCCATTAGTTCGAGAAGCACGTCTCATCTCAACCTCGGGGAGTTGTCGGTGAACCTTCTGGTCTCAATCCCGTGGAGCTGTGGGCACACCCAGTCTCAACCTCGAGGAGCTGTCGGTACACCTTCTGGTCCCAACGTCGAGAAGCTCTCAGTACACCTTCTGGTCTCAACCTCGAGGAGCTATTGGTACAACTATTTTTTCGCGAACGTACACGATGTGAGCAAACTTTGTTCTGCAAGCGATGTGGTAAAAAATAAACGAGCATAACTACATGGTATAAAATACCCCGTAGGAGCATACCACATGGGTATTTCACCACTCGTAGAGCCGTTTTGCTCTGGCTGGGGGGCAGAAGACCTATTTCACATATGCTCGAACGTTTTGGTAGCTCGTCTGAGGTGTGTTATTTTCACGTCTCGTGGAACAATGATTCAAAGTAGGGGAGCTGATGATGCCAACGGCTGGCGATAGCCAGCCATTAGAGTGTATGTGCATCAATGACGACAGCTTTGCTAAGCGCAGATGCAAATCACCGCATGTGCAATTTGTAAATTGCCGCTAAACCCGTTGCAAATCGCCGCAAGCTCCGCCCCACCAGCATTGTATGAGACACTCTTTGGGATTCGATCGAATAAGATGGAGCTAGCTACCAGCAGCGCTGGCAGCCCTATACAGGTACAATCGCATGTACACCGTCACATTCTTAGCGCGCGTTCATGATTTTTTTCCCGCGCCGCAGCATTCTGGCCATCACGTTAGGATCGCGCTGGCAGCATCTAGCAATGCGCACTGAAGGGGTGCTTTGAGCAAAACTGGTCGTGTCGGACGGCGAGCAATCTACGTTGCCGGCCGAGAATGATGTCATAATGGGAAAGTGCGCACAGGGTTGCACCCGCCTCGAAAGGAAAAAGGTATTTGAAGTTTGTCGTCGCAGCCCTGCAAATCACCGCTTCGGCCGCCACGTCAGCATTGAGTGAAGCAATGTGGTGGTGGGGCCGAACAAAATAGGCTCCCTAAGGGGACAAGTGTGTTATACTGGCAGCTTATATCCCACAACCAGCGCTATGGAACGTGCACAGTTACACTTTTCGTGGGTAACTGAAACTATTCTCCCCGTCTAACGTTTAGTGACAGGCCGTCCGCTGTTTGCAATACCCCTTAACTGGTTGATGTGAACAAAAAGGTCATGCCAGCCGATGGCTGTGCAAAATTTGCAGCATTTTTTTGTTTACCAAGGTGGCCGTCTTCTAGCAGTCACGCCACGGTTAGGCAAACAGCAATTAGCAATGGACGGTCAACGGATGACTTGAACAAAAAAGGCATTGTCGGGAGATCAGCGATTTTCATTGCCCGACGAGAGTGTTTCCACATTCAGATCGTACACACATGGTTGTACCCTACGAGCACGACTTGGAGTAATTTAAATTCGACGCCATAACTTTGTAGATCGCCGGTGGGGCTGGCCCGTGATCATTGAGTGAGGCACTGTCGGGGGTCGGACGAATAAGATAAAAACCGGAATCAAACAAATATGTTATGCTAACGGCTGATTGTCCTATGCAAAGGTCATCGGATGTGCACCGTCGCACTCTTCACACGCAATTATAGTATTTTTCTGGTCGCTGTGGTCTGACCATCACTCTAGGGCCAGGCTGACATCAGTTGGCAATGCGCAGTCAAGAGATGCTTTGAAAAAGTCATGGCGGACGACAAGCGACTTCCGCTGCCGGCCTAGAGTGTCCCCACATGCTCCCACACAGTGCACGAGGTCGCACCTGATGCGCACGACTAAAACAGTTTGAATTGGACAGCTGAACATTGCAACGCGCCGTGCGATTGGCGCATCAACCTTAACACGCGCTAGGGTGGGGGTCAAATTGATCCTCCCGAAGGTTTTTTCCGGAATGGTTTCCTGACGGCGCGGCGTGGCTACGCCCAATTTTCCATAGCTGTAGACAATTGAATAGCGGATCGTTTGGCACCAACAATTCAGATGTAACTTGCAAGGGCGCTGACCTGTAGCAGGTCAAAGTCAGGCCATGGTTTTAGCGAAGGCAATTTCTGGGGAATCCTTTAATCTGATTCAACAACGGAGTGTTAGACGAAGCCGTACGTCTCTGAGATACTTCCTTAGCCAACAAAACAGTTGAATGAGTAAATAGCATTGGCCTATGGTCAGGTATGAAGATCACACCATGGTCAAAACCAACCTGTTGTTACTCTGGGGCTTGCCATATGGGATAATTTCTGGTGCTCGTTTCGACTTTATTGATAGCGTGAACCGCATTATACATCTTCCATGGACATGTTAGAGGTCCAAGTAGGTAAATGACCTAAAATGACCCAGGTAAGCATTTTGTTTTTAGGAACATACTGCCTAGCGTAATCTTTGTCGCTTAGTGAAATGCAAAACTCAGGGCAGTCCTGTATGATTTTGGTCACTTTGACTTTCACAAGGTCAGACAAGGTCACTGACCTTGAATGAGCATGTGACTTTTTGCTTAGAAATGGTTATACGGGTTCTGGGGGCACTTTGGAGACCAACCTGGAACTTGACCTTGTTTGACCTTTTTTGACCCAAAGGTCGCTTGACCTGGGAACCTGAAACTTTAACCCAAGTGTGTTCACGTATAGGTCAACACACCCTGTGAGTTTGGTGTTTCTAGCTTTCATGGTTCCCGAGATCTCAGTAGGAGTCAAATTGACCCCACCCACCCGGGCGAAGAGTATCTAGCCGGCCACCCGGGCGCGTGTTATGTGCGAAGCTGTTCGGGCGTCGACGGAATGCAGCGGATGACCCTGTACCAGCGTCATTAAATACATTGCCGGCCGATAGTGCTGGCAAGGCACTGGTGCCGGCAAACTTTGAGCGAGACGCGCTGGTACAGGGCTACCAGCTGCCATTACAACAAACACGTCGGATTCTGTCCTCCATTTTATTTGGTCGACATTATTCGGTCGGTATTCGGCCGCGTCTCACTCAATGATGGTAGCACCTAATTTCAAATAGTTCTAGTCGTGCACTGCGGGTGCGATCATGCGCATACCGTGCCATTGTTGCACATTATTCGGCCGGCAGTGTTAATCGCTCATCTGCCGACATAGCCCTCTCGATTCAAGTAATTCCCTTTCAATTTTTGTGTTATTATCTGATTGGTTTTGATTAAATTTTTAATAACAAATGGGCAAGCTAGGCTTTATTAGCTGGTGATGGAACCTGGTGTGCACGACTCTTTTTCAAAACGTTCAGAACGACATAAGTGTATTCCAGGGTCAGCAGGAGACGGTGTATAATCGGATGGAGTGACCAATGGCCGGGGAAGGGAAGCATGAACAGTGCCAGGTGTCGTTAGTGTGGCGGTCGGTCGGAGTGTGAGTGCTCCGAATGTCACCTGCTTGTGCATCCGTGCTTGTAGGCTCTCCACTAAACTGCAATTTGTGAAAAGTAACTGATAGAATTCATTCCATAAAGTCACCACAGATGCGAATATGATCCTCAACAGGGCATTTATTCCTTAAAAAAGTGTGAAGTGGCATGCGTGTCTAGATGGCCTCAGCATCATATTATTTCAATGCTTTGCTTTCTGCATTTGGTCACACAAATACACCTGGTCTCACCGGATTGTTGGTTTGACTTCAGACAAGAGTCAGGGCGGAGAATGTGGTGACTATATCTGAACCAAAAGTGTTCGTCACGCACAACAGTGATGAGTAACAATAGGATAACAGTGCAACAATGTACAAATGGTATACGAATGTAACAGTAACAACGCCACAGACCACGAATGACGTGTCTCTTTTTTACACAATGACTCTCTTGTTTACAGAAGCTGGTAGGACCTTGTTTTGATTTATATGACTATGATTATGAAGGAGATAGCGAAAATCCAAAGCTAGAAGTTTCGTCATTTTTTTAGTTAACCAACAATGATGTGATCAGTGGTAATGCAAGGGAAACAGTAGAGTTCACACTTATATGTTCGCTACGTTTCTTTAATTTTTGAGTGAATCTCAATGAATTCAATGTCATATGCCATGTACTACATTGCAATGGCTTAGGCCAACACATTTTTGTTATTTTGGCCTAAGCCATTACCAATCAGCTGTTCCAGTATGTCAGCTTAGGCCAACACATTTTTGTTATTTTGGCCTAAGCCATTACATGACGTCATGAAAATCACACATCAAGCCTAAAAACTGAAACTCTTTTTACCTACCCTTGGTAGGGCCAAGGCCCTCTAAACAAACGGCGATAGACGAATGTGGAGTAGAAATCTGTGGGAAAGGACGGGCGGTAGTGATTGGTTGTGGGTACACTGCCCATTGCGGTGCTGTCGGGGAAGGTTTGCTCGGTTAAGTTGTAAGAGCCATTGCAAGTCTTGTTCAGTGATATTTCGCTTCGAATGAGAACCTGCATATGTTGTCGGTTGACATTTTTATAGAATGTCAGCATGTTCAATCTTGCCAAGAAAGGACATGCCGCCGTTGATGTCAAAAAGTCCATTCAGAAGATTCTCGACACCAAGAAGGACTCAGCGACTCGCCTGAAACACCTTCGCATCATATTGGGTGAGTTGGGCATGAAATGTGTTGGCTTGCTGCTCTGCATTGCCGTGACTAATGAGTGAATGGCATGGGCAGGCATTTTGCTATTTTGTTAACATGAACACAACACATTGAGAAATGTGACATTTTGTACCTTTCAATTTGTTGTTAAGCTCTCAGTGGAAAGATGCTAACTTACACAAACTTTTTAAGAATGCCATATTTATGAAATAGGTAGCTTTGGTAGGCATGTGTGTACTTACTTTTAGTCTGACCCTCGGTCAGCTTCTGGGGCTGCTCAGGTTTGTGCTTCAGACAGCACTGCATAATTTCAAGCAGAGTACAGTTCTTGCTCAAATATACAAAGATCAATTCCAGAATGGATTCAATGCAAGCAATCCAGGTCACAATGGTTCAGATGAGGTACCTGCATACAATATTAGGCTATATGACATATTGTAGGAGTCAATGTATTTTATTCTGGCGGCCAAACAGAAGAACAAAGCAGAGGACTAATCCTGCACCCTAAAGGTGTACAGCAAGGCCATGCATGTTGTGTGATGCAGGTATAACTGAACTGCCTATATGCAGGCACTTGTATTTTTGTGTTGCTGTTTTGAGATCAGGCTGTTCCAGTATGTCATGACATATGGATGTTCTCTTCAATTGGAAGCTTTTCTATACCTAAATTTATTGGTGCTGCTGCATCCCTTTCTGAAGCACCACCTTTGCTGTATGGCATCATTATAATCCACCTGTTTTTTATGGTGGAAACTGCATGCCCCATGTACTCAAAAGTTATGCTGCACCACTTTACTGGCAGGTGGCACTCCAGATATGATCTTATAGATAACAAGTTGCAATGTCAAGCAAGTCGATTCAAAGCTGTTTGGCTGAGTTATGGCCTGGTGAGACCAGAGAATGGCCTCCAGCATATTGAAGTGGGCAATGTTACACATTTGTGTCAGTTTAATTCACATGAATTTAAAATGCAAGTCATATGCCATGCTGTAGCATGTGAATACTGTTCATGTGATATGTGGAGGGCAGATATTGAGAGTCAAGACAGGTCATCAGACCAATTGAATACTGCCTGAAGCAACTCAATTGGCAACAGTATTGCCTTATACATGGGAAGTGCACATGTGCTATTGGAAATCACTGCCTTCAGATTTTCTCTACTTCTGCTTATTTATGGGGCTCATTTTACTTGAATTTGCAGAGCTGTATATGCTGCTTTGTTATGGAAACGGGATTGTCCAGTTTGAGTGCATGTCATGAACAAAACAAGTACTTTTCACCATGGCTTTCCTTGCATCCACTCTTTCAGAGGTGTTCTGACCATGAAATGTTCTTCTTCCAGAAAATGTTGACCTTGTGGAAGCAAAATATATTTTTGAGACCCACTACAGCCACATCTACTACCTCTTCTATGATGTCTTTGCTGCAGCTGAGGCCAGCGTCAAGATTAAGCGTAAGTCCCCTGTTACCAATGGCCGGAATTTCTGTAAATGATATTCACTTTCTCTAGAGCTTCTAAGGCAGGGCTTGTTTTACTGTGTTACATGATATGAACAGATAGTGTCATGGCTTACCTATTACAACAGCCCAGCGAAGTTTCATCAAGCATCGTATCAGACTATTCCAAGGGCTGTTCAGTTATCAACAGCATGCTTCACAGTTCACATGGGGCTGGGGCTGGCTGCCAGGTGTGGCAGGTACCTCACAGCCCCCCCCCCCCCCCCCTGGCCGTCGCCGCCGGCCGGAGCCGACATCGCAGCTGACTGCACCCCTGTCCGCCTCAGCACACCGGGCGCACCGCGAAGACGTGGAGTCGGTGCTCTACATCCTGGAGCACATCCTGCTGCTGCTGCCTGAGCTGCTGCAGCAGCGCTGGCAGCTGCACAGCGTCAGCCGGGTGATGCGCACCCTGCTGCACCCGGGCAACATTCTGCGGCTGCGGCGCGAGGCCATGAGGTCAGGCCCCCTCCCTCTGCTGTGGCATAGTGATCTGGGTGGCCTCTCCTATCCTGTCGTCACCAGTGATGGTCAGCTGTTGTAATGTGATGGCTGGTGGTAGTCTGCTGTTAGGTTGCTACCTCATGGAGATTTAGGTCATTGATTTTGCATGAAGTGCAATTTTCTCGCACCGAGCAGCATCCGGAATTGCTATTCTCTGATCCGGTATTTGTCACGTATTTATTTAGTAATGCCACTCACAGTTGGTGCTGGCGGGTGGGGCATGTGGTGATGTGGACTGAGGCACGCCCCAGCAGAGCTGATGACCGGCCTCCGCGTCACAGGATGTTCCTGATCTGGTTCCAAGAGGTGGGCGAGCAAGCCTCGGATGAACTGCTGTCGATGTTCGCCACCCTGGTGCCGGGCTTCCCTCCGCCTGCGTCTCACGCGGCCCCACAGAGCGCGCCACGAGTGTCACCCGCCCACCCGGACAACAGGCACGGTGAGGAAACGACCCAGCCGGACAACAGGCACGGTAAGGAGGCGGCCCAGCCGGACAACAGGCACGGCAAGGAGACGGTTGACCCGGACAACAGGCACGGTGAGGAGACGGCCTACCCGGACAACAGGCACGGTAAGGAGGCGGCCCAGCCGGACAACAGGCACAATGAGAAGACGGTCCTCACCGTGGTGTGATGTTGGGCCGTGTCACACCTAGCCGTGCCAGACGGCTCGCACGCCGGCTATGACGTGCTGGGACGTCCGCCGGGCCGGACCGGGCGGTCGACCCCGCCTGCGAGATGTGTCGGGACATCGGCCCTGCTGCCCCCTGTCCTCTGCGACCGGCAGCGAGGACAGACCTGAGACGCGCCGCACCTTTGCAGTGGGCCCAGTGGACGTGGCGCCCATCCTGCCGCCGCAGGGCGTCGAGAAGGCCTCTGACGACCTGACCCGGTTCTTCCTGGAGTGCCTCATGGACAACATGGTCACGCAGGTTAGCAGCCGGCTGAGATCAGGTGCCGGATGGTCCATGTTAGTGTTCAACCGGGGCCATCTCGTTCTTAATGAAAATAACTACAGGATGGTCAACCGTGTACAGAAGTGAAGGAGCGAAACTTCTATGTGTAGCAATGTATGCATTGCCACGCAGCTCCTTATGTGCGTCGTACGACATATATACGAAGGCATAACATGGCAGTGTGTACTATTCTATGCATGATTGTACTCAATGCTGACGGTGAGAGTGGTTGATCAGTAACCACAGTAATTATCCTCTGGTCACCAGGACTTGATTGTCCTTTCCCATCGTTTAAATACGCCGCGAGCGTGCTCCTAGCTTCGCGCTTTAGCGTCGCTTTGTGGGGTTGATATTTGGGCATGCGACACCAAGCGGCGTGCTGATGTCGGCTTACAGTCTTACAATGGGGTCGTGACAGCTGCGTTTTTTGCGCCGTGCAGCCCGACAGCCGTGTTTCCTCGTTTGCAGCTCACAAGGATAGAGTGGAAGGACAAGGCGTACCATGTGCGCTGTTTTAACTTTCTGTTCGACAACTTCAAGCAGTTCTATCTTCCGCACATATTTCCCGACTTCAACTGGCACACGAACCTGTACAGGCCAACGCTGAGTAAGTTCGCAAACCGCGATGGCGTGAAGCCGATTAGCGGACTGTATCCACGGATGCGTGATAAACCTTGTCGTAACAGCGCGATGACCACGTTGCGTGTGGTCGGTCCATGTCAGCACCCGGATGTGGTCTGTGACTCACCACATCACGCTTTACGTCGGCTGGTCGGGCGAAAGTTTTGACACCCCGTCCCGTCCTGTCCCGCCCCCCCCCCCCCCCCCCCCTCCGCGGACGGGTCTCGCTCCGTTCATTCCACGTCGTGTAGTCCCTCTCATCCGGCACCGGCACGTGGACGCCCGGGGCCGCGTCGGGACAGTATGGTGACGCCGCGCTCCCGTGCCCCCCGCCGCCACCGTCCTGACTGGCGTGTGTGTTGGTCGCACCGCCGCCGGTGACGCCTCCCCGGCCGGCCGGCAGCGCTGCCCGAGCTGCGCCGCCAGCGTTCGCCGATGGCTAGCTCTGTGGACGGCGCGCCGCGGCCGGCCGACCGGCTCGTCTCCTGCCGCGTCGTCGTCATCCGCTGGGTGGCCAACTTCGTGCACGCGCGCTCCGGCGGCCGCGAGACTGCGCCACCGCCGGCCGGGTCCGCCCACCAGTCCGGGTGAGGCCGCGCCCCCGCGGCGCATGCGCTGGTGACAGTTTTGCAGGTGACGGTTCCGTGGTACTGCCGGCTTTTGGTGCTTCTTTGTATGTTGATGTTCGTCTGTAAGCTGGTGCTACAGCTCTGCTGTTTGTCCATGAGGAGTTTTTGTTTGGCTGAGGCCTGTGGTGATCTTCATGTGTAAAAATGTCCACGATTGCCTTGATGCCTGCTATGCAAGTCAGTAACTGTCGTGTGTGTGTGTCTGTCTCTTGGGTCCGTCCCCATTTCTGCACATTATCATGACCGCCATGACGTCCGCCTTGTGTGTGTGTATGTGTGTGTCCGCGGCCTGTGTGTCCGTCGGGGCCGCGTGCCGCTGCTGCGCTGGTGCGTGACGCCGGGCGCCGGCGCGCCTCTGCCGGCAGCGGCGGCTCGGGCGACGACGGCAGCCAGGGCACGCCGGAGCCGCGGCGCGCCCTGCCGCCGTCGGCCGGCGACAGCGACGCGCCCGCCTCGCTGCACAGCCTCGCCTCCGACTCGAGCGGCGGCGCCGCCTTCGGACCAGTGTGCGTCAGCGCCCGGGACGGGCTCGCCGGCGCCGCGTGCTCCGCGGCGTCACGTGCTGCCCGCCTTTCGTGACATGCGTCTCATTGGAGGCGGCGTTCGGACGACGGATGGAGATGCCATTCAGAGTTGCCGTTTGCTGCCTGTGAGATGCAGCGTGGTGTTGCTGTTGGCTTGCCTGTGGTAATCTGCCGATGATGTCATGTTTATAAATCCAACCGGATCTCTCTTAATAGGAGCCAACTCATCATTCGCATGCCGCACCGGTCTGCTCTGCCCCGCTGTGTGGCGCTGGCCATCGCTGAGGCCGCACCAGGCGGGTCGCTGTGCGTACCGACGCGTGCTGAGCGTGGCGCCGGCGTGCGGGCCGCGCCAGGAGCGGCCGCTGACCGCCGTCCCGCCTGCAGGGAGCCCTGCGGCCGGCACCAGCCGGACCAGGCGGCGCTCGTGCGCACCGTGCTCTTCGCCAGCCGGCAGAACGTCAACTTCGTCCACGAGGTGTTCAGGCAGGCGTTCCTGCTGAGCTGCCACTACTCGGCCGCCATCAAGCGAGTCGTGCTCGTCTACAAGGACTGGATCCAGATCAACGTGCGTGTCGGGGCAGTGGGCGGCGGTGGCCGGCGCAGAGCTATTGACCGAGAGCTGTGGGTGTGCAGGATGATCGGCGGAGGAGTCACGGTATTCCATGGAACATGCCGAAACTCGTTTGCTTTTTGGCGGCTTATCTTGGCTGCCCGCGGCCGTACAGTCTGTTTCGCGGTCGGTGTACGTCGGGTGTGAAGCGCTTTCCGTTGTGGCGGCCGCGTCTTACGGGACATGGAGGGTGGGCTGTCGCCGACTGGGCCACACGACATTCGGCTCGTTCGCCGTCGACGCCGCGGGCCGGCCACTGACCGGCGCGTCCTCGGCGTGTGCTGAGCAGGTGCAGCTGCCGCCGTTCCTGCTGGAGCCCGCCGAGCTGACGCTGGACGGCCGAACGTCGGTACACGCAGAGGTCAGGCCAGGAATGGGAGCCGGCTCAGAGGCTCGGCATCGACCGCTCTGGTGTGGAACGGGGGGCTGTTCCTAGAACAGCCACCCGTTAGGGATGCCTGGGGAAGCTGACATGAAATGCATCACATGGTCCATTCCTTTCGCTGTTGACGAAGTCAAGTCGCAGCATGTCGTCTCTTCCCGCGTTTCGATTTGACAGCGGACATCAACATTGGGAGATTTCTTGAGCTGATTACACCGACGTTTCGTGGAATATCTGGAGCGGTCTGTGGTGGCTCGGTTACGTCAGACAGGAGACGGATGCCACCATCTGTTGTGATCAGACGTTATTGGCTATATTGGCCGACCGCCGCCGGTGGTGATATTGATGGGTCGCGGTTAGCCGGCGCCGCAGACCCAGGCCCTGCACGCTGGCTGTGCATGCCTGCTGACCCAGGCCCTCCCCACTGACCTGGGGCCCTGCCTGCTGACCCAGACCCTCCCCACTGACCCAGGCCCTGCCTTCTGACCCAGGCCCTGCCTACTGACCCAGACCCTGCCTGCTGACCCAGACCCTCCCCACTGACCCAGTCCCTCCCCACTGACCCTGTCCCTGCCTTCTGACCCAGGCCCTGCCTACTGACCCAGGCCCTGCCCTACTGACCCAGGCCCTGCCTACTGACCCAGACCCTGCCTACTGACCCAGACCCTCCCCACTGACCCTGTCCCTGCCTTCTGACCCAGGCCCTGCCTACTGACCCAGGCCCTGCCTACTGACCCAGACCCTGCCTGCTGACCCAGACCCTCCCCACTGACCCAGGCCCTGCCTTCTGACCCAGGCCCTGCCTACTGACCCAGGCCCTGCCTACTGACCCAGACCCTGCCTGCTGACCCAGACCCTCCCCACTGACCCAGACCCTCCCCACTGACCCAGACCCTCCCCACTGACCCAGACCCTCCCCACTGACCCAGACCCTCCCCACTGACCCAGACCCTCCCCACTGACCCAGACCCTCCCCACTGACCCTGTCCCTGCCTTCTGACCCAGGCCCTGCCTACTGACCCAGGCCCTGCCTACTGACCCAGGCCCTGCCTACTGACCCAGGCCCTGCCTGCTGACCCAGACCCCCCCCCCCCCCACTGACCCAGACCCTGCCTTCTGACCCAGGCCCTGCCTACTGACCCAGTCCCTGCCTGGTGATCCAGGCCCTCCCCACTGACCCGGGCCCCTCACTGCTGACCCAGACCCTGCCTGCTGACCCAGGCCCTCCCCACTGACCCAGCCCCTGCTCAGTGATCCAGGCCATCCCCACTGACCCAGCCCTGCTCGGTGACCCAGGCCCTCCCACTGACCCAGCCCTGCTCGGTGATCCAGGCCATTCCCGCTGGCCCAGTCCCTGCCCGCTGATCTAGGCCCCGCCCGCTGACCCGGCCCCTGCCTGCAGGACGTGCGGGACTCGGCCCGGCCGCCGGGCCGCGCCGCTGCCGCCGCGGACGGCTCGGCCGGACTCTCCCAGAGCGTGCGCGCCGGCCTGCAGGTGAGGGAGGCGGCCGCCGCCGAGCACGGCGTGCTGGGGTGCGGTGAGACGGTGGGCCCCGCCGGCCGCCAGCGCGCCAGCCCCACACCGCGCAGCGCCGCGCTCTGCAACCAGCTCGATGTAGTCAGCTGCCAGGCGCAGGGGGACCGACCGCCGCTGTCGCCGTCTGTCAGTGTTTGGCTTCGGCACGGTGCTGGACGGTGAGCGGCTCGCATTGTTTTACAAGGACTAGCCGGCGGCTCGGGAAGTCTAGCGGACCAGTTCCAGGTGACTTAGGGGCTCATCTTGTAAATACTTGTAATTCGAGAACATCGGTTTTTAAAAGCCGTCTATCCTGAACGTTCGTAAGCTGTCAAGGGCATTCGCCGCCATCACAGGCATGTCCAGCAGGGCGTCCAGCTCGTGTGCGGTGTGAGCTGGTCGAGTACACTGACCTCTCCGCCCGGCAGAATACACTACAGCTGTTCATCACCAACTCGGCCAACATCTTCCTGCTGGAGCCGAGCCCCGAGTACCGCGGCCACTACATGGAGGACCAGGTGGAGCTCTGCAAGCGCATCCTCAACATGTACCGCTACCTCGTCATGAACGTCTACATGTCGCAGGCCACCTGGTGAGCGGCGTCCGCCGGCTGCCCTGTCTGCCGCGGAACCGGACGGTGTCGGTGTCTGTGCCGGTGTCAGGTGTTGGTGTTTGGTGCGGACGCGCGCCCACTCATCATTGGTGCCACATCACTGCGAGGACTACTGGCCGGAAATAGTTATTTTCGTGCCAGTTTAATGTTAGCTGACTGAGGTATTGGAAGGACAAGGGCCGCGTCGACAGTCAGCGACCACGTGTGTGTTTGTGTGCTGACACAGTGCCAGGACGACATTTGGAGCCGTCCTGGCCGTCATGCGATAGTAGGTCCATCACGCCGCCGTAATAGTCGCTGAAGCCGCCCAAGCTGGCGCCCAACAGCGCTGCAGTTTGGGCTCCGAAAGGTACACTGGACTACTGGATGGCTCACATTTTCAGACCGATATGTTGCTCTGTGGCCCCTGATTTGTCGCTCTGTGGCCCCTGATATGTTGCTCTTTGGCCCCTGATATGTTGCTCTATGGCCCCTGATATGTTGTTTTAGGGCCCCTGATATGTCGCTCTGTGGCCCCTGATATGTCGCCCTGTGGCTCCTGATATGTCGCTCGGTGGCCCCTGATATGTCGCCCTATGGCCCCTGATATGTCGCGCCATGGCCCCTGATATGTCGCTCGGTGGCCTCTGATATGTCGTTCTGTGGCCCCTGATATGTCGCACGGTGGCCTCTGATATGTCGCTCTGTGGCCCCTGATGCCGCTCGATGGCCTCTGATATGTCGCTCTGTGGCCCCTGATGCCGCTCGATGGCCCCTGATATGTCGCTCTGGGGTCCCTGCTATATTCTTCTGCGGCGGCGACCAGACACTGCCGGGCCCTGATGCCCTTCATGGATGGCTTTATTCTGTTGTACCTGCTATGACTCGGTCCACCTGTGCCCCGGCACTGACGGCCGGCCGGTGGCTCTGTTCCAGGGAGCAGCTGCTGCTGGTCCTTCTGCAGGTCACCACTCAGACTCTGTCCGGCGAGCCGGCCGTGAAGGCGCGCGAGCAGACGCTCGGCGCCATCCTGGCCCGGCCGCTGTTCCAGGTGAGGGGCCAGCCCGCCCGCGGCCCGCGCCGCCGCTGCCGGCCGGCTCGCTGGCAGCTGCCGCTGCTCCGGCGACTCACGCGGCGGCGCGACGAGGGATGACGCCGACGTTAGCTTTTCGGCGTTCGTCGTGAAGTGTAGCACGTGCCGTCCAGCTGTTGGCTGAGAATATGAGGTTGCGCTCGCGCTGTATATTGGGCGCGGTCTGACCAGCTTCAGCCCACGGTCGGTGGGTGTGCGGAGGGGGGGGGGGGGTGTCGTGACCTGCGGCCGGGTGTCGTCCGGCCGGGTCCGCCCGAGGACGGCGTTCCCGGCCGGGCGGTGACCCCAGATCAGTGGGCTGAGCCTCGGGGCCGCGGTACAGCGCTACGCGGCCCCGGCCGAGACGGTCCCACACTGGTGCCGCTGCTCCTGTCCTCGCACGGGCCCGCGTACCAGGCTGACTGCGATGTTCCTGAGTGTAGACGGATCCTGGCGCCCGCGACGGGACTCGGACCGTGACAGCTGTGGCCTGAAGTGAACCTGGGATGACAGTCCTGGGTACCGCCGACCCGACTCGGAGAACTTTGTCCCTGGTCTGTCACCGCCAGGCCTCCCGTGACAGGGGAGAGTGGCACCCCTGACTGACAGTGGAGGGGTGTGATGTGGGGTGCACTGCACCTGGACCCGTTGCCGGCCCGTCCGAGCGCTGTGAGCGCAGTTCGGACGCACTACCGGCGTGGCCCGGGCCGACTCTGACGGCGGCCGTGGCTCCTCGCCTCCGCTGCAGACCCTGATAGTGACCTGGGTGAAGGCGAACCTGAACGTGGCCGTCAGCGTGGAGCTGTGGGACCAGTTCCTGGGCACGCTCTCCTCGCTCACCGCCTGGGAGGAGCTCATCAAGGAGTGGGCCGTACGTACACCGGGGCCGAGCTGTGTGCCGGGTGGCGCAGCCGGCGCGCGGCAGCGTCTGCTCTGGGCCGGCCGAGAGTCAGGCGACAGCTGCCGGTGTGGACAGAGGCAAAGATGGCGGCAGCGCTCTCGTGCCCTCTGCTGGATTCGTATTGTTTCGTCCCTCAAAGGTTGTGTCACTGGTACGTGAGCGGAGTTTCGAGGTCTCGAGCGTTTGCAAGCATTGATTTTGACCTACGGCAGCGGGAGAGAATAACCCGGAGCGTTTAAGCGGATGGAGTGATCCACGGTGAGTTAAACTCGAGCCAGATTGGATCTACACGGCCTTTGTGATCTCCCCTTTGACGTGGCCTGACTACCTTGCCGCCGCCGTGTGCGTGTGGGCACGGGCGCCGGGTTCAGCGTCGCTCCGCCCGTCAGTTGCCGCCGCTGACCGACGGCTGCCGTCTGCGTGTTTCAGAAAACGCTGGAGACTCTGACGCGCGTGGTGGCGCGCCAGGTGTACGAGCTGGACCTCAACAACCTGCCGCTGGACCGGCTCACTGAGCAGAAGAGCAAACGCCGCCGCGGCCGCACTGACGGCCACCAGGTGGGCCCGCCCGCTCCGGGCTGAGGACCGCCGGTGCCGCCCGACCGTGTCAGCTGCGGTGACTGCCGGCGCCGCACCACGGAATAAGGCGGTGATCAGCTTTATTGTCAGGGCCGCACCGTCCTGTACTTCTTAAGTTTCGACCGAGACGACTGAAAATGAAAGATATTTACGTTAGCTTTACGTAAAAAAGCACATATAAGGTGCATTAAAGCGACATAAAGGTGTCTTAAATCATAAAAGGACGTAACTGAACGTTCAGATGATAGAATACCTCAAAACCAAACAGTGCTTCCAAAAAACAAATTGTGCGCAATGCCGGCCTTCACCGCGTGTCGCGTTGTAACCGGACGGCGCGTGCCGTGTCGCGACCCGTCACCGCGTGCCGTGTCGTGACCCGTCGCCACGTGCCGTGTCATGACCCGTCACCACGTGCCGCCAGTCGGCGGGCGCCTGGAGTCGACCGACGCCGCCGGCCGAGAGCAGGGACCACGGTGACGGGCCGGCGCGGCGCGCCTCGCTCCAGCCGCCGGACGACGCCCACTCGCAGCACGGTCAGTGGAGCGCCGCCGCCCCGGCCGCCGGCTGCCGCGGGCGCTCCTGATGGCGCGGGCCGCCGCGGGGAGGCGCCGTGCGGTCGCATTTGGGCGTCTTGAGTGGCGTCTGCAAGGTCTGTTAACCGGCATGAGGTGGCAAACTTCGGATGTACGTGCAGAGGCTATCTAAGATGCTGAGAAGTGGCCGTAGGTGTCGGCGCGGCCCTAAACCTCAATTAACATCATATCATGGTAGTTTTGTTTTCGCGCTCCATGACTCCCCTGGGTGGCTCATGTTAGCACAATGGTACGCCTTCAGCGCGGCGTTGTCCCCTCAGGAACAAGGGCTTGCCTGCCTGATCTTGCAGCATGATGTGTCACGTGCGCTTCCCATGTTTTCACACCCGTCATGCGAAAATGACTGTCGTCGTTTGGCTGACGCCTTGGCCGGCGCGCGCGCGTGCAGGCTCGGCCAGCAGCCAGCCGGGCGTGTCGCCGCACCCGCGGAAGCGATACACCAGCGGGCTGGGCGCGCCGGCCGGCCTGGCGCCGGCCCGGCTGGTGCGCAGCCTCTCCGAGGGCAGCCTGGCGCCCAGCCTGTTGGCCGTCGAGCTGGTGGCGCCGACGGCCGGCCGCGCCTTCCCGCTGGCCGAGCCGGGCCCCAGGAAGGTCTGGCGCTCGGTCGACTCGCTGCGCTGCAGAGGTGAGCCGGAGCGGCGCGCCGCCGCCCGCTCGCGCCGCGATCGGGAGCGGTCGGATCAGTCGATCGCCGCGATCAGGATCTGCCGGATCGGTCGATGTCCGCGATCGTGATCGGCCGGATTGGTCGGCCTCCGCGATCCGTCGATCGTGCCGATCGGATCTGGCGAAGCTGTCGATCTCCATGATCTGCATCGGCGCTCCGTACTATTGATGGGGTCCCTGTGTGGTGATGTTCCCAGGCCGGTGTGTGGGATGCCGGCGGGCTGTGTTTCTGTGGTCGATGTCCACTTCCCGTGCTGTGGGTTAAATGCAATCCTGTGTGGAAAGCCGTCTGTTTGCATCGGCTCGGACGCAGCTTTGAACAGTTTGGAGGCCATGTCCCATTGCCATCCCACGCCCGAATCCGTCCCATTCACTGCTACGTTAGCTCAGCTGTGAATACCGTGCACCGACAGCCCACGTCACGTAGCTAACCGCTCATCGCTGTCCCGTCGGCTCGGGACTCATCAGGCAGTGCTCGGCCCACTCCGCAATTCTCTGTCGCGTCACGTGCTGCGGGCGCTGGCTGCCCTGTCGGCGAGGCCTTGTCGTGCCGCGGGCGCCGGCTGCCCTGTCAGCGAGGCCTTGTGTCGCGTGCCGCCGCGCACCGCCGGTGGCTCGGAGCGCTGCCCGGCGTCGGAGGATGACGCCGGGCCCCGGTCCGTCGGCAGTGTCGCTGCACTCGCAGGCCTCGGAGCCGGAGCTGCACTCGCGCTCGCCGTCGCCGTCCAGCGGCCTGGAGACCAACTCCATCAAGGAGTCGCCCATGGCGCTGGACTTCGCCGCCGACGGCAACAGCATCGGTCAGTGGGCAGCGCCGGCGGCTGGGCCTGGGGCCGACCGATACGGGCATGAGGGTGACAGTGACGGAGGCGTCACTCAAGATCGGTCGTGGGTCATTCTGAGCTGTGAGAAACCGATGCAAGGAACGGAGGCCTTTAGTTGCTCCCTCCCGTTCTCTTCAGCATGTTTTGAGCGGATATAAACGCCTGCAGTGTGGCAAAGGTCTGACTGGATGTGATCTCCGGCCCTGTCAGTGACCCCTGACGTGCCGAGCTGTCGCCTGATGTGCCGACAGACGCCACGGACAGCGGCGCCTCCGATCACCTGTCTGTCATGTCTGGACTCCTCCGACCCGCCCCCTGTGCCTACAGACACCACCGACAGCGGCGCCTCCGAGCACCGGTCCGTCATGTCTGGACTCCTCCGACCCGCCCCCTGTGCCTACAGACACCACCGACAGCGGCGCCTCCGAGCACCGGTCCGTCATGTCTGGACTCCTCCGACCCGCCCCCTGTGCCTACAGACACCACCGACAGCGGCGCCTCCGAGCACCGGTCCGTCATGTCTGGGCTCCTCCGACCCGCCCCCCTGTGCCGACAGACACCACCGACAGCGGCGCCTCCGAGCACCGGTCCGTCATGTCTGGGCTCCTCTGACCCGCCCCCTGTGCCGACAGACACCACCGACAGCGGCGCCTCCGAGCACCGATCCGTCATGTCTGGCGGCACCCTGCGCGGCTGGATGCCGGACGTGGCCGTGGTGCTCTGGCGTCGCATGCTCGGCGCTCTCGGCGACGTGAACCGGATTCAGAGCCCGGCCGTGCACGCGCAGGTGTTCGACTACCTGATCGAGCTGAGCGAGACGCTGGTGAAGGTGAGGGTTGGCCGGCGTCGTACCGCGCTGGTGCAGGTGTCTCGTGCCACCTCTAGCCATATGACATGGTTTTTTGGGGGCTGGACGTTGTCCATATTTATGCGTTCAGTGACATGATAGTGGTTCAGTTCGCACGTGCTGTGTATTTTCTGTTCGTTCGATTGTCGCGGCTTTTGCTTCTGTAACCGTGAGTTATGTACAAGTGGGTACTCGCACAACATTGCGGAAAATGATGGTCTCGGTAGTACTTGTACTTCGTTTATATATTGTGCCAGCACTGCTCTGACGTTACGTTGGACGTGACGGTTGACATCGGTTAGGAAGCAATACCACCCGCTGTCGCATGTCCCGTCTCGCGTCTTTTGTCTGCCCGGCCATGAGCCACCCGCTGTCGGCGGCGCGCATCACAGCATACTGCCCCCCTTTTCTGTCCCCTACCTGGCTTCAGCGCGCGACCCGGTGTACCCCCTTCCCCCTCCCCCCCCCCCCCTCTCCGCCGCCGACGGCTCCGCACTGGGCGCCGCCAGATCGAGGACAACCTGGGCGTGTCGGCCGACAACCAGTCCACGTGGTGGCCGGCCGAGCTGGTGCCGCCGCTGCCGCTGCTGGTGCCCTGGTGCCTGGAGGCGCTGCGACTGCCGGACTCGCACCAGGCGGGCCGGCTGCGCGCGCTGCGCCTGCTCTGCCTGCTGCTGGTGCGGCGGCAGCCGGCGCCGCTGCCGGCCGCCGCCGCCGCCCAGCTGCTGCGCGCCCTGCACGTGGGCCTCAGCTCGTCGCGGCCGGACGTGGTGCACACGCTGCTGCGACAGTGCGGCGCTGGCTTCCTGGCGCTGGAGCTGCCGGCCGCCTCGCTGCTCGTGCTCGACTTGATCCACGCGTGCACGGCCGTTACCGCCAGCCAGGAGCTGCACGGCGTGAGTGGTCATGCTGGGGGCGGGGCGGGGCGGGGTGACCCGGTGTGGCGGTTGGCCCGATGAGGGGGAGGTGTCAGGAGGAGCGAGTGGAAGAAAGATGGAGTGTGCTTAGAGAGCAGAGGAATCCGGTGGGGGGGGGGGGAAGGGGGTAACAAGAGGCAGGGGCTCAGGCTATGAGCCCAGTACTCGATTGAGATGGCTGTAGCTGTCGGGTGGAACGGGAGTGAGGGCGGATCCGTCGGGGTGACATGAGCGGGTGGTCTCCCCGTATGGGCAGGCTGCCACCATTCGGCGCTGGCCGGCCGGGCTGGACGGCGGCCGCATCCGCCGTCTGTCGCCCTGCTGACGCACTGCCCGTGGTCCGCCCGCAGGTGCCGCGCACAGAGGCCGTCTCCATACTGGGCAGCCTGGTGTGCTACCCCAACCGCTGGCCGCAGCTGCAGGCGCTGCAGCCGCGCACGCTCGAAATGAACGTCGTGCCCTGCTCCGACCTTAAGGTCAGGGTGCGGCTTTGCTCCGATGTTAAGTGCGCGGGCTGACCTCGGCCTTCACATGGTTAGCGCCCGTGCGCCTCTGTAGGTGTGGTGTTGTACGGTGGCCCGGCATGTCCAGCCGATGCCTCGTCTCCGTCGCTGGTGCTCTGCTGCGGTCCCGTCCCAGCCGCGCTCTCCGCGCTGCCCCGCCCCTCGGCGGTGTCGGCTGTCCGCACACCCGCCTGACCTCGGCCTTCACATGGTTAGCCCCGGTGTGTCTCTGTAGGTGTGGTATTGTACGGTGGCCCGGCATGTCCAGCCGATGCCTCGTCTCCGGCGCTGGTGGTCTGCTGCGGTCCCGTCCCAGCCGCGCTCTCCGCGCTGCCCCGCCCCCCGGCGGTGTCGGCTGTCCTCACACCCGCCTGACCTCGGCCCGGCCGCCGCCGCCCGCAGGACAGTGTGGTGGCGGCGCTGCTACGGTGCGGCAAGCGCGAGCCGTCTGTGACAGCCCGCTGCACGGCGCTCGTCTCGCTCGCCGTCTACCTGTACGAGGAGCTGATGCACGCCACCGGTCACGACAAGGTCAAGGATGCCATCCACATCCTGCTCAGCGCACTGAAGGTCGGTCGGCCCGGCGGCGGGCGGCGAGGAGGTGGCGCTGGTGTGCTGGTGGGCGGGATGTGGGGCTGGCCACGCGCCCGGCGGCGGACGGCGAGGAGGTGGCGTTGGTGTGCTGGTGGGTGGGCCGTGGGGCGGGCCACGCACGTGGCGGCGGACGGCGGGGAGGTGGCGTTGATGTGCTGGTGGGCGGGATGTGGGGCTGGCCACGCACGTGGCGGCGGACGGCGGGGAGGTGGCGTTGATGTGCTGGTGGGCGGGATGTGGGGCTGGCCACGCGCCCGACGGCGGACGGCGGGGAGGTGGCGTTGATGTGCTGGTGGGCGGGATGTGGGGCTGGCCACGCACGTGGCGGCGGACGGCGGGGAGGTGGCGTTGATGTGCTGGTGGGCGGGATGTGGGGCTGGCCACGCACGTGGCGGCGGACGGCGAGGAGGTGGCGCTGGTGTGCTGGTGGGCGGGATGTGGGGCTGGCCACGCACGTGGCGCTGAACTGGCCGGGCTGTCGCAGAGTTAGCCGGACAACGTGTCCAGAAACTGCGGAGGCCGGTGCTGCGCCTGACGGCGGTATGAGTACAGCATGACTGGCGCAGGCGTCACAAAGGAAACCATGACGAGCGGTTAGAAGTCTAAATTCGAATGGACGGAAACTTTGGTTACGACTCTTATCCCAACGCCTATCACGCCCAAACTTTATAAAATAAATGGGTACCGTATGACAGGCGTGGAAATAGCTAGCTGGCGTACCGTACCAAATGTGCCGTTGGCCGTGTTTTACCATGATCAGACTTTATAAGCGCAAAAATGGTGGACATGATGCCGCAATGTCGGCATGACGCCCCACCATCGCTGCTGCCAGAGTGTTGCGGTCTGCAGTCGACGCAGCGCGCGCCGCCCACCGTCCCCGCTGACAGGGTGTTGCAGCTGACTGCACCGGTGGCCTGGCGCTTCAGTCGACACAGCGCGCGCCGCCCCACCATCCCCGCTGACAGGGTGTTGCACCTGACTGCACCGGTGGCCTGTTTCTTCAGTCGACACAGCGCGCGCCGCCCCACCATCCCCGCTGACAGGGTGTTGCACCTGACTGTGCCGGTGGCCTGTCGCTTCAGTCGGCGCAGCGCGCGCCGCCCCACCATCCCCGCTGACAGGGTGTTGCACCTGACTGTGCCAGTGGCCTGGTGCTTCAGTCGGCGCAGCGCGCGCGGCTCGGCGTCTGCAGGGCTCTCGCCTCACGGCCGCGCTCCGCCGTTACAGTGCAACAGCCGGGCGGTGGGCCAGGTGGCGGCCGACATGTTGGTGCTGCTGACGGACCACGCCTCGCTGCTGCTTCGGCTGGCCCCGGACGTACCCCGCCGCGTGGTGGAGGTGAGGACGCCGGCGTCCGGTGCCGGGGTACTGCAGCGGGAGAGTGGCCTGGTCCACGCCGAGACGGACGGACGCGGCTCGAGAGGCGCACGGCGGCGGAGGAGTCCACAGCTGTGCGGTGGTGTCACTTGGTGAACAATTGACGCGTTGTGCGGTGCAGGAAATTGGAGCGGAATTTGTGACAGCCGAGGAGGTGCTGAGGCCGCATGCGCCCTGCGCGTCGCGTGCTGCAGGGTCTTTCTGAATGCGTGACACGGTGTTCTTCACGCTTCGCGCGTAGGTTAATGGGGGCGCCACGTGTGCGTATCGGCTTCGCCCAAGCACCTGGGCACAATGCTCTGTCGTGGTCCGACCTCCTGCCCTGCCCTGCCGTGCTGTGCCGTGCCGTGCCGTGCCGTGCCCTGCCCTGTCACACCCTGCCGTGACCGTGTCGGGCAGGTGAGTGCCGCCACGCTGGAGTCGCTGGTGCAGGCGAGCGCCGAGCCGTCGCCGGAGGAGCGCTGGCTGCTGGTCTCGCTGATCTTCTGCCTCGGCGAGTGGTGCATGAAGCTGCCGATTGACGTGCTCACCGAGCCCGACCAGCAGGGCAAGTCGCTGCTGCTGCGCGTCTTCAAGGTAGGCCGGCGCCCCGGAGCGCCGCCCGTCCGCTCCTGTCGTGACGCCATGTCCTCTCGCGTCGCGGCCGGCATGCCAGCCTTGCCCTTGCACGCCTGTCTAACCTAGTTTGGTGAAGCCTTGTGACTACTTAGTCGGTGAATGCTAACAGCAGCTGGTGTGGTGTGCGGCTGAGCCACTGTGAATGTGCTTGCACGGCGCCCTCCGCTCGGAGGGGCTGGTCACATGCATCGTCTGTATGCCGGATGCGCCATTCTTGGCGTGCCGCCTCTTTTGAGCCGTCCTTTCTGTCTGTATGATGCAGTCTTGTACATAGAGAGCGCTCCGTTGCCGCCGACTGCTTACGTGGCTAATGCGTGGTGCCGTCTGTGTTCGTGTGGTGCTTGTGTGTATGTGTGGCTTGGCACGCTTGGCTGCGTTCCGATCGGCTGTCGCTGGCATTTTCCCCAGATGGGCTGGTGCCTCATGGCCTTGCCCTGACGTGACGTACCGAATACAGTTTTGATTAGGGCAAAGGTAATGGGCGCGCTTTGACTGTGCAGTCAAAGCGCCCTACAGCCCCAATTTCTACTACTAGATGCACCCACTGCAGTTAAAGAGAATGTTTTACATCTGAAGATACTGAAGCAAGCATCAGATATGATGAAACAAGCTCACTTATGTCTATTGGTATATTTTCTAAGTGGAAAAGACTGCTCTAGACAGCATAATTATCCATTTAGTAAACATACTCCTCAATGCGCCAGTGGTTTAATTACGTTATCGTACCTTGCACAACATTGATTGAGAGCAAATTGCCGGCCGATATGTGTAGAAATCGCGATGACGAAAGCCAGATATGAGCGCCTCGACAATCATATTTTATTGGCCTTGATGGCCGCGTGGCCTATGGAATGGCAGAATTCGAATAACGTTATGACATTACGAATGCCAAGGTGACTTTGAATACTTTCCCTGATATACCTTTCCCCATTTCCGCAGGCGTATAGCTCAGAAACTAGGCGGGCTTAGGTATTAAGAAGGGCAGAATTATGAACAACGCTGAAAGGTGTTCAAAGGCGGTTATTTCAGTTCAAGACCCCATATAAATGTGGAGCGCTCCCTTCAATCAGCTGTGGCACACTGCGGTGTCATGGTTACCATTGAACTGTAGATATTCCAGGTGTCTCGTTTCCTAGGGTCAAACTCACCGGACTTTGATTCGCGAGGAGATGGTGTATGGCCGGCAGGTCTACGCCATTTGGATGCCCTGGTTTGGTAACATTGATTTCAAATTTGCAACGGCAGCTGAACCCACCTGCCATGACCCACGCTGCGTTTTCGGGCGAGATATGCCGGCCTTGGCTGGTCGGTGAAGCAGGCAGGCTGACGGACATTATCCGCGTCAAACGGAGGCACGGCGCCACCCGGCCATGCTAGCGTAACCCTCCGTCGTCGGCGAGTCGTAGCAGCCGGCGGGTGTGGTACTCGTGAGACTGAAGCAGACGGTAGCCCTCGCCCTCCCCGTCTTCCGTGTCGGGACAGTGTTCTGTCACTAGCTGGGCTCCGTTGCCGGACTGGTGCCTCTGTTTCGGTGGTGACTGGGCAGTCTCGTCCTCCATATCTGGCTCACACTCTGCGGCTGCGACCGCCGCTGTGTTGACCAGCCGTTAGTCCTTTCCGTCCGTGAGGTGACTGACCAGCGTGGTGCCGTGCGTTTCCGGTGACTGACCAGCGTGGTGCCGTGCGTCTCCGGTGACTGACCAGCGTGATGTTGTGCGTCTCCGGTGACTGACCAGCATGGTGCCGTGCGTCTCCGGTGACTGACCAGCGTGATGTTGTGCGTCTCCGGTGACTGACCAGCGTGGTGCCGTGCGTTTCCGGTGACTGACCAGCGTGATGTTGTGCGTCTCCGGTGGCTGACTAACGTGGTCCCGTGCTTCTCCGGTGACTGATCAGCGTGGTCCCGTGCGTCTCCGGTGACAGGTCAGCGTGGTCCCGTGCGTCTCCGGTGACTGACCAGCGTGGTCCCGTGCGTCTCCAGTGACTGGTCAGCGTGGTCCCGTGCCTCTTCTGTGGCTGACTAACGTGGTCCCGTGCGTCTTCGGTGACTGACCAGCGTGGTCCCGTGCGTCTCGGGTGACTGGCCAGCGTGGTCCCGTGCGTCTTCGGTGGCTGACCAGCGTGATGCCGTGCGTCTCTGGTGACTGACCAGCGTGGTCCCGTGCGTCTCGGGTGACTGGCCAGCGTGGTCTCGCGCGTCTTCGGTGGCTGACCAGCGTGGTCCCGTGCGTCTTCGGTGACTGGCCATGCCCTGCGTATCACCCAGTCTGTGTCTGCATGTGTGCCGGTGTGTGCCTGTGTGTGTGTGTGTGTGTGTGTGTGTGGTGATGATGGCTGCCGGCGGGCGGTCTGACCCGCGCCTCCCATCCCCGTCCGTGCGCTGACTGACCCGACTGACCCTGTATGCTGCAGGCCCTATCCGGAGGGGAGGTGCCGGCGTCTTCTCTTCACCCCCAGCCCAATATTACGCTTACAGTCACTGACCCGTACCAGCAGGTTGGCATGCTCCCACGGAGGCCGCGTGGGCAGGCCCTTTGGCCTTCCAAGCACACAGACTCCGTTAATTGCGAACTGGCTCTACCCCCTGTACATACGGCGTTGGCGGTGTCTTGAACTCTGCACTGCGTTCGTTTTGCTGGGTTAATCTCTCCAGGAACTTGGCCCTTGGTATTGGCCCTTTGGCATGGTCTTGCATGGTAGTCAGCGTCTGTTTTGGTTTGCATTCAACCCTTGGATAATCGATTGGTTTTGGCGGATTGGTGTTAACATGGATTTGTGGACAGTGTTGTTATAACTGACCATCGGCTGTTTTGGTGACGGGATTGGTGATGGGCTGACCACAAACGGCGTTGGCACTGGTGATAAGGATTTCGCATATCGCTGTCAGCTGACTTTGCCATACTTTGGCAGCTGTATGTTTTTTTTTTCCGTGAAGTGCCACGTGCCATTAACTAGGCTACCCTGTACCTTAATGTTGGTTAGTACGGGTTTTGACACCCTTGTGAAAACTTTCGATACGCGCGGCCATAATCTACGCATCTCTGGCCTGTCCGTCATGTTGGCTGGTTTCGTTTAATGCTGATCATTGTTTCCTGTCTGGTCCCGTTTTATATTTGACGGACTACTGGCTGGCCTGGCATTTAGAATTTGAGCCTTACAATAGAAAATGAGCTCGTAACAATTTTTGGTGCGCGTGAAGGCCAGACCCAGTAGCAGCGACGCTGACGGTCCTCCACCCGCCCGTCGGCGCCCCTTCACGCCCGCGTGGCCCCGCCGGTCTCGCCCGTCGCCCCCCCCCCCCCCCTACCTGTCGTGCCGCCGCTGACGGCCGGCCGGACGCGCAGGTGCTGCACGTGGTGGTGGGCGACCCGTCGCCGTCGTCCGGCTCGCAGTCGGCCGACTCGCGGCTCTCGTCCGACGCCCGGGACAGCGCCCCGCAGGGCGGCGGCACCGTCGGGCTGGCGGCGCGCGCGGTCAGTGCCTGCGGACACGCCGCCGAGCGGCCCACACCCGCCCAGCGGCCGGCCACTGATGACGTCATGTGGCGACAGCTCGTCACTGGCGGGCAAGGGCTCGAGCCGATCTAAGCGGCTGGAATGATGCGCTGTAACAAGGTTCAACTGGACACGCGTGGCGGGTGTGCGCTTATTTTTTTCGCTCCGATTCATTGTTCCAGCGTTGTCTGTGGTCGCCCTCCCTTGCTGCGGCTGTCCCGTGCTGCCCGCCGCCGTCCACCGAGGCGCCCGGTAAGCCGTGCCACGCTCCGCTCGCCGGCGAGCCTGCTCTGACCCGTCACCGACCGGCCGCAGGTGATCTCGCACCTGGTGAACCACCTGGACCACTTCCCGATGCTGTGCGGCGCCGTGCGGCTAGGCTCGCTCGTCTCCGAGCATGATGACCTGCCGCTGCTGGCGGCGCGCGACGAGCTCAGCTCGGACATCTTCTACGCGCCCAACGTGCAGGTGGGGAGGCGGCACGCGCCTGCCCAGAGCGGTCAGCTGGGCGTGGGCGCCATGGAGGCCGGCGCCGACTCCGGCGGCTGTGAGAGGATTGCGGGCCGGGCGTTGACGAGCGTGCCGCTAGTGGTGATTGGAATCGTCGTAGGGAGCTGCGCCGGCCGGTGCGGTGGCCGTGGCCGTGGTAGCACGCTGGCCGACCTGTCAGTGGCTCCTGCGCGTCGCTTTCGTCGGCCTTCGGCTCGCTCGCTCGCGGACCCGTGGGGATGCGCGGTGGGCTTTGCGTGGATGCTGCAGCCGCCTGCCGGCTGTCTGATGGAGCTGATTCGTTTTAGCGGTATGGCGTGAAAGACGCTCTCCAGCTCTGCGCTACACTTCCGATCCATGCACCCGAACCGCTGCTGTCGCATCCTCCGACCAACGCACAATGTCTGCCCGGCAGTTTTTCGTTCTGAACAACCGTTCGCTGCTGTCGCTGGTGGAGCTGCCATCTCTGGAGGTGCCGGGCGGCGGGGTCACGGCCGGCCTGCGCACCGCCCACTCCCAGGTCAGCGACGGCACGGCCCCCGTCGTCAACTGCTGCGGAGACCCCCTTCCCTCCCGCTGGGGGCGCGGAGGCTGCGGCCCGCCCCCCCCCCCCCTCCGTAGCGCGTTACAAACCGCCACGGGGTCACTTGTAAGCCGCAGACGGATGTCGACTCCCACGTTCGTGCTGCGACGAGAAGTATGATATTTACCGCTGTTGCCGTGAGCTGGGCTCATCGGACGCCGTGGCAGGTGGTGACCGTCGTCGGCGTGGTGTCCGCCTCCCCAGGTGCGCGTGATCCTGCGGGACCTGGGCGGCAAGTTCTGCTGGGACGCTTCCGTTCTGTACGGCACCATCAGCCAGCTGCACTCATTCAGCGCAGGTGAGAGGACCGGGCGAGCTCCGCGACGAACAGTTTGGAGAGGCGTACTCTCCCCCGACATTTCGGAGAGAGTGAACTGACATCAGGAACTGTCCAAATATATGTGACAGGCCTGTGATGATTCTAGCAGGCCATGGCTGTCGGGAAATCAGGGACTGTCAGGCTGTGATCTTCCGCGGCACTCGCGCGTGCCGTGGAAGTCGTCCATCAACGGCCCAACTGGCGCTTCACCGTCCGGCTTTTGCTATATCAGCTTGGGCAGCTTTGCCTAAGAAACGCAGTGGCTTCAAAAAGAGGCAACCACTGATGTCACCAAGGTGCCCACAAGCAGGGTAAGACACATGAGCGACGCGCATAATCCGCGGCCACTCTCACCCGTCCTGCGGCCGTGCCGTCCCTGCCGCTGTCGCTGGCTGCGGACCGCTGGCCGCCGACTGGTGCCGGCCGACGGGGCCGGTGACTGGCGCCCGCCTGACCGCCGCCTGTCCGGCAGAGTCGGCACCGCTGCCGGCCGGCTGGTGTCGGCGGACGGGGCCGGTGTCTGGCGCCCTTCTGACCGCCACCTGTCCGGCAGAGTCGGCGCCGCTGCCTGCTGCCCGGCGCGCGCCGCCGCCCATGGCGCACAGCAAGTCGGAGGAGTCGCTGCTGGGCGGCGGCCTGCCGGCGCCGCCGCGCTCCGCCGTGCGGCACCGGGGCCGCGGCGCGCTGCCCTCCTGGCACGATACAGAGGGCGACATGGACAACCTGGACGACGTGAGTCAGGTCGCGCGCCGGCTGCGAACTTTCACTACCCGCTCGGCACGTTTTTGTCGGTCATCACGGCGGCGGCCGGGTTTACCAGGTTCGAGGCCTGCAGAAAGCGATGGTGGTATAGTGGTGAGCATAGCTGCCTTCCAAGCAGTTGACCCGGGTTCGATTCCCGGCCATCGCAAGTTGCGTTTTCATGTTGTCGTGATTTTTAAAGTGATAATTTGGTTTTTATGACACATCGTTTCATATCCAGCCATGCCTGGCATGCCCTGTGGTACCCTACCCTACCCTACCCTACCCTACCGTACCCTTTCCTACCGTATGCAAAGGGCATATGCATATTTCATGTGCACATATTATTTCTTAATACGAAAAGGCTTGTGATCAGAAGCTTGGTGTGTTGTTATGACATTATCTATGTGCAGTTCTGGGTGTAAAAGTAAAGACGTAAAAGTGCCTTGCTCATTTCATACTCGCCGTGCTTAAGCGTAGCTTAAAAAGGTAAAGATGAACCGGAAACGGGAGTTTCTTTCCGAAAGTATTGCGACTTGAGTCAGCAACAGCATGCTTTTTTCGCACCACACAAACAGGCTATTCGTCACTCTCATTCCATTTAGCTGCTTTCATTCCTCCTATTTCCACATGCAATGCGTCGCTAGTAAACTGCTTGCTCTCATTTGATTGCTTGCGTTTCTAGTTGATAGGCGTAAGCTACTGACAAACGCCGCGGGAACGTGGTGATTTTTAGAGTACGGAATATGGAGGATAAGCTCATCACTTTTTCGGATGAGGGCTGTCATTTCAGCGCTCCTAAATTGTCTCATGCAAGCGTGCCGTCCTTCAACAACGACGCGTTTTGGTGAAACGTGTTAAAATGTGCTGGGTGGGCAGCTCCAACGTACTATGTCGTGCATGAGGTTAATGTTTTGCTTTTACTCTTACCCCACGTATGGGCCGAAATAAGAAGCCGCTTTAATTCATTAGACGCTTGACAGTTGCAGAACACACATTTGTCTGTAGGCCATCCACAAAGCGCGCCTTTCGGGATGGGCCGATGAGCGGCGCCACGGCTGCGTGACGGTAGATGCCGCTGCGGTCACCGACGTGACAGTAGGTGCCGCTGCGGTCACCGACGTGACAGTAGGTGCCGCTGCGGTCACCGACGTGACAGTAGGTGCCGCTGCGGTCACCGACGTGACAGTAGGTGCCGCTGCGGTCACCGACGTGACAGTAGGTGCCGCTGCGGTCACCGACGTGACAGTAGGTGCCGCTGCGGTCACCGACGTGACAGTAGGCGCCGCTGCGGTCACCGACGTGACAGTAGGCGCCGCTGCGGTCACCGACGTGACAGTAGGCGCCGCTGCGGTCACCGACGCCGGCTCACGGGCCGCGGGCGTGCGGACGGGACGACAGTAGCTCGCAGCCTGCGGCTGATGGCGGGCGGGTTTTGAGTGTAGCAGTGTTGAACTCGCTGCGTAAGTTGCACTCGAGTGAAGCTACTGCGGCCTACAGTTGGTGTCAGTGTCAGGGCGATTTAGTGACCTTACAGTTGGTGTCATTGTCAGGACGATTTAATGGCCTAGATGTCCCTCACGGATCTTAAGCGCGGCTCAGAGGCGGCGGATCCATCGCGGGCGGGGCGAACGACCCTACCGCACGAAAACGCGGACGTTGCACAAATATGATTGCGTAGTTTGTCCTCGGTGAAATCGTGCTCAGTTTACGAAGGTTTTCGAAAACAAACATACGTGTGCACAGACGAACACTACGATTTTATTTTAGAAGTGGAACGACCTGTTGCGCCTTGTTTGGTTATGAACCTGGTTGGTACGTCGGAGAGGTGAGCACCCACGGTGGCACAGTGCCAGCTGAGCTCCCCCCCCCCCCCCCCCCGCCTGTCCGTCGTACCGTGTCCTCCGCTGCAGTATGCTTTGGCCGGTCATGTCGGTCTGGTGGTCGACGCGTGTTGGTGACCGGATCTGACCTGACGTGACCGTCGTCCAGCTGCTGCTGTACCTGGACGACACGTCGCCAGAGTGCGCCTCCGCCGCGGACGCGGCGTCGGTGCTGCCGTCGGTGCTGGGCCAGGAGCGGCACGTGGAGGCCATCAACGCCCTGCTGAGCCAGCGGAGCGCCGAGCTTGAGACGTCCCGCACCGTCGACAACAGGTACAGCGCCCCCGCCCCCGCCACCACCACCACCACCAGGCGGCAGGCCGGTCGGTCCTCACGCGACGAAATACCAGCGCTTTGCCGACAGGATGCGGGATGTTGCCATGCCCTTCACACACGCAGGTATCTCACTGACGGGGGGGGGGGGGAGCAGTTGTCTTTCGCGCTGTCGTAATTGCCAGAAGGATTTTGCAGCCGACCGTAATGTGCTCCCCCCCCCCTTTAACGAATACGACAGTTACAATGCGTCTCACCCGGGCAGTTCTCAGCTATCCGACGCCGCCATGTTTGTGAAGGTCCCGCGTGCGCGCGTGACCGCCCTTGACACGCGGTCTGGCACCGGCCCTCAGCCTCCCGGCACCGGCCTGCCGGGCGCCGGCGGCGCAGCAGGCCGGCGCGCCCTTCCAGCACGGCCGGCTGCTGTTTAGCCAGCTGGGGCTGAGCGGCTGGGCGCGTCGGCCGCACATCCACTTGCTGCGCAAGTCGGAGCGGCTGCTGCGCGAGCTGCGCAACCTCGACAACCAGGTGAGCGGCGCGGAGGGGCGGAGCGCAGACGGTGTAGGGATGGCGCACGGCATAGGAGGAGCAGATACCAGGGAACAGTGGGCACAACAGCGCGGGTCAGAGTGGAGAGGGTGGAAGCGGGGAGACAGGGCTTGGCTAAGGTATACAGGCACGGGGAACGGAGCCTGGGCGTGATAACTGCCCATGCCAAGCGCAGTGGATTCACAGTCCGCTGCGGCCAGTAGTCTGGTCTGGCAAGTCTGGCGCGGTTGGCCTCCGCACGCCTGCTCCAGGGCCAACTCAGAGACACACGCCGGCCCGACTCTGGGCGAGGGGCGGCATTTGGCTGGCGCTGGGTGAGAGGCGCGCTCGCTCCGGGCGACCGTGATCATTGGGGGCTTGTCGCTGTCGGGCGGCCGCGGCGGCTCGGCTGTCCGCCGTGCTGACCAACGACCCGCGCTCCCAGAAATGCCGCGAGACGCACAAGATCGCCGTCATCTACGTGGCGCTGGGCCAGGAGGACAAGCGCTCGATCCTGGCCAACTCCGCCGGCAGCCAGCAGTTCGAGGAGTTCGTGGCTGGGCTCGCCTGGGAGGTCAGTGCTGACACGCCCTCCCAGCTTCTCTCCCCGTGTACAGCTGTGTTGTATGCTCGTTGGTCTCCTCTAGTGGTTCATGCTCTTCTGCGTACGTATCTGAAATTTTCGTCCGTCTGCATGTGCTTCTGACTTTCCGTAAATCGTCCTTTTCAGCCTGTGGCAGCTCTCCACAGCGCCACATTGCGACGGTTATTGGCAGTTGCTCGCTGCTCGTCCCTCGTCGTTTGTCCCTCGTCGCTCGTCGCTCGCTCCGTGCCCTGTGCCAGCCGTTTGTGTCGCCCCGTCCCCGGAGCTGCTCTGCTGACCCGTACCCGCCGGCAGGTGGAGCTGGAGACGCACACGGGCTTCATGGGAGGATTGCAGCGCAACGGCACCAGCGGCGATACGGCGCCCTACTACGCCACCTCCTTCACCGAGTGCCTCTTCCACGTGTCCACGCGCATGCCGTCCCACACGGAGGAGGCGCTCCTCCAGAAGGTAGGTCGGGTCCTCGAGAAGGAAGGTAGGCAGGTCGGTAGGGACGCTCGACTCGCGGGCAGCTCAGCTGTGAAGATCGATCTCAGCGCCCTGTTCCCCTGCAGCGCATTGCAAGTGTGTCAGTGATCGGCGCTGAAGAAGAGGGAGTTGTTAATGCCTTGCGCCTGCAGCTGTTAGACCACAGTCTCCAGAGTCCAATAGGTTGTAAAGGCTGTGTGCTTCGGCGCCCCGCCGGTGGTCGGCGGATCTGTGTGGCCGTGCGCCGGGCGCCGACGGAGCCGGCGCCGCTACTGACGCCGCCTCGCCGCCCGGCCGCCAGACCCGGCACCTCGGCAACGACGAGGTGCACGTGGTGTGGTCGGAGCACGGCCGCGACTACCGGCGCGGCATCATCCCCACCGAGTTCTGCGACGTACTGCTCGTCATCTACCCGCTCGAGAGCGGCCTCTTCCGCATCCAGCTCTCCCGAAAGCCGGAGGTGAGCGTGACGGCTGCGTCATACTAGAGCTGACTGGGGCGCCCCCGCGGGCGCGGCACTGTTCACGCGATCGTTTTGTGTCACTGCTTCCCTCTGCGTTAATTCGCGTGTTCCTCCAGATGACCTCAAATGGTTTGATTCATGAGTTGAGGATGGAGGAGGATCCTTTGTCGTGCAGTCGCGTGCCCCGAAAAAAATATGACTTCTTCCGCTCATGTAACACACAAAATATGACGTCTCGCTCATGTGCTCATGTGACACACAGTCCGTTCAGGACGTCAATTATTGTAAGTAAGATGTCCTGCACGAAGCTCCGTGCCCTTCCAGTCCGAATTAATTAACTTAGATGACCTACACAAGCGGTTCGTACAGGGCACGGGCTTGGGGCGTGACACCAGTACCGGCGTCAGGATGCCTCCCAGTTGGCCGCCCCGTGCCTGACCTGACCTGACCTGACCTGACCTGACCTGGCCGCCGCCGCCCGCTCGTCACAGGTGCCGTTCTTCGGGCCGCTCTTCAACGGCGCCATCGTGGGCCGCAAGATCCTGCCCGGTCTGGTGCGTGCCACCGCTCTCAACGCGTCCAGGGCCAAGCGCAGCATGTTGCCGCACTACCTGAACTTGTGAGTGCTGGTGCGGTCGTCGGAGCCGTGCTGCTGGTCGGCCAGCGTCGAATGTGGGTGCCCGTGATAGAATGCTCCTGCTTTTACGTTGGCAACGTTGAGGCACAGTTTGGCGGTCGCTGCCGTGCACATGAAGCTGAACTATCCTCTGTGCTGTACTGTTTTGAAGACAACACTACCGTAGTAGCGCCGTTTAGTGCAGCGCGAGGAGTTTGTCGCGCTTGCTGGCGGCGACCGGAGTGTGACGCTGCTCGGCGCGCCCCGCAGTTTCGAGGAGCGCTCGCAGGCGCTGGAGACGCTGGTGGCCAACCACCGCGAGCTCTCGACGTTCGAGGAGCTGGTGGGCAGCGTCTACAGTCCGGCGCCGCCTCTGCCCGACATGGTGCCGCGGCCGGCGCACGGTGGGTCCCTGGCGCTGACGGCGCTGCTGTGCGGGGCACCGGGTCAGGCCAGGTCAGACTGGATCAGACCAGGTCAGCCGGTACCGACCGGTTTTCAGCGGTCAGGGACGCCGCTCACCCACCCGGATATGATTGCAGCGCCATCAGCAGGATCACTGCAACTTCGATCGCGAGATCCGTCGATACCCGCACACGCCGCATTTCCCCGTTCGTTTTCGGCGGACTTCCCAGGCTTGTCCGAGCGGAGTACAGAGCGGGCGGGCTGTGTCGGCGCCGGACCACTGGGCCGGCAGCTGACCAGCCCCTCCACCCGCCGCTGGGGTGGTTTTGCCGCCGCCTGACGCCCACCCCGCCCCGCCAGGTGCCGAGCCGGCGCCGCTCGCGTCGGCCCTGGTGGACCCGGCCCACGCCGTCCAGCCGAGCAGGACGGGTCGGGCCAGCGAGCCACGGTCCAGAGGTCAGACGCCGACTGTTTGCTTGTGCCTTCGCTGATGTCTCCCTCGCTCTTTATTTGTCTGCGTCGTCCGTCTCCTCGTTTACGCCTCGTAATGTTCGCCTGAAAGTATACCGCCAACGTCATCGCGTTAAGCAACTGTAATGTTATTTTCTGTCGCAGTCATCTCCCCCGATGTGTCTGTACTAGTCTGTCTTCTCCGTATCCATCGTCCCGTTCAGACCAGGCTTCGCGTCGCTGTCGCGGTAACGTGACCACCTGCTCCTCTACCTCCCCTGGCTGACCTGTCGCGCTCTCGCGCAGCCGATACGGACGGCGCTTTGGTGGACGTGGACCTCAGCAAGCCGGGACCGTCGCCCAAGACGCTGAAGCGGCTCTCGTTCAAGACCACCGTGCGCAAGGCGTCGACGTCGATCCAGGAGACGATCCAGGGCCTGCCGACGGCGGCGCGCTCGCACCTGGGTGGCTTCCAGCCGCCGGCCACCACGCCGCCCGACAGCCCCTCCCCGCGGCTGCGCAAGTAGACGAAGTCCGGGCGGCCCAGGGAGCAGGGACACGCTCGGAGCCTGAGGCCGGCCGGCGCCGGGCCGTCCGGCTCAGGGCCACACTGGCCCCGAGACAGACGGGTCTGGGGTGCGCGCGCCTCGGAGGGCGGGCGGCCAAGCCTCGTGAGCTGCGGAGGAAGGGGTACCGGCGCGGCCCCCACCAGCCGCCAGCGGCCCCCGCCAGCTGCAACGGCCTCCGCCGATGGGAAGCGCCGAGTGTCTGTGTGCCGCCCGGCTGGAGCGGGCGTCCGACGCGGTCGTGCAGCAGCATCTGCGCGTCGCATCTGCGCATGCGCGGCCTTGCAGCAGCATCTTGTTACGCAAGCCTGAATACTTTTTACGTAGGTAGATGCCATGCCAAAGGTCTAGGATAAGGCTGCTGTTAAATAATCGCCGATTAGCCTCCTGTGATAGTCGCTTGCTCCTGACGAGCCGCTGCCGCACGCTCGCAGTGTGTCGTGCGCGTCTGTATTATTGGCAGGGCCGCGTGGCCGGTGGTGCCGCGTTCTGCGAGATTGGGGGTGGCGGTGGGTGCACCCTGTGGGTGGCGGGACACCGGGGGTAGACTGCCGAGCTGTCTGGGATGGGTGAGCGGTGAGACGTCGGCAGGAGGTCGGGTTTTGTAAGACGTGGCAGCAGTGAGTTTTGTACGCTGTCGGAGATGGCTAGTTTTGTACGGTGTGCGTGGCGTGGCGAGTGACGCGATGTCGAGGATGGTCGGCGGTTCACTGTCCTCGGACGTCCGCTTGCTGCGTCTGGCGGGAGTGTGAGTGACGATATATCCAGATGACAGGAGGTGGGGCGTCTGGCCGCGGCGCAGACGCCTGCGTCTGCGGACCGGTGGCTGCTCCTGCTCTCTATGCGGGTTTGGAAGGACCGTCGGTTGACGGCTCGCTTGCGATTCCCGTTTGGTGCTTTGTACTTTGTTGCGAGTGGTGACTCATGATTCCTGAGATTGCCCAGTGCCTCAAAGGTTCCCATTCGCCTCCACTTTTTGTTGAACTGGAAAGCAGGTGTGGCGTTGTTGATAGGTACCTTACGTTACTTTTATTGTTAGTTGAACGCGGTAGCGCGTTGTGCCTGTGCTTGCTGGATGATGTTGGTCCCTTGCACATCGTGCTATTAATTTACGGGAGGGATGCGAAGGATCGCAAGCCTTTTTACTGATTCTGTTCCCTCTGCAGGTTTAGTTAGCCTGAGGTGTTTGTTTTCTGTAAAGCATGTGTTACGCAAATGTGGACGCGTGCAGCAGTATTGGTTATGTGCAGGCTCCCGTGCACGGCCTGCCTCGGGCAACACTTGGAAAGCAGTCACCGGTTTCGGAACATCTGATTTGTAGGACGCTAAACTCAATACGATGTACTCCAAGATGTACGATATCGTGCCGTCTCCGTTTTGTTGGTCACGAAAGGGATCCTTTTGCGGGAGAATGCGTCCCCTATGACGGCGTATATCGAAACAGGAGCAAATTATGTATGTGGGATGGCGCGAATCGAATGACTGATTGTCGATGTGGTTTCCTTCGTTGTTCACATATTTTTGATCGCTGCCACCAAAGAAGCCACACTCATACTACACTGCGCTAGTTTTCTACGTGTTGCTTTCTGCTGGGCAAATATTTATTGCTAAATGTCATCGGTGTTGATGGATTGTCCTCATCGTACAAAACCTTCTAATATTAATACACAACTAAAGCACGTCTTTTCTGTGGACTAGGGTGCGTCAGGATGGCCGGCGTTATCTATATATGACACGCCGCAGCTGCAGAGGTGTGGCTGGGTCCTAAACCCTGACTGAAGACATTTGTGACCTGATGTCGCACTCGCCTGGGCGCTATTGCACTTGCTGACGGCGTGGACGGTGGGGCATTGCCGTGCACACGTATGATGGCAAGGATCTTGAAAAGCATTTCTTACTTGGTCAAACAGCGCGCCTTTCCAAAGTTTCTCGTTCTACAACAGCAGGGTGGCGTAGAACTTCAAGAATGTTATCGCAAAGCAACGCTGCAAGACCTGGACTTGTTACAGTCGTTTTTGCCGTGTGTTTCCCTCGGTGTCTTCTTTGGATAAACGTCAGGGTCACGTGCTGCAGCATCAGCTCGACATTGACCGGGCTCAGGTCAAACGTCCTGGGATGCGTCTGCTTCAAAAAGTATTGCAACCATCTAAGAATCTGCTGTCGAGGGCATCTACTATAGGGTTGGGTAAGCGACGGTATGTATTTGAGCTGCCGTGCTGGAGTAGAAAGTCAAGCCCGTTTTGCAAGGCGTTGTAACATTTTATATATCCTTGAAAGATTGAAGCCGCAAAAAGCTCTAATTTCATCTTTCCTAGATCAAGCAGGACATATTTGCCCTTTGTCCTCGGTTGTAACGTTATGCACTGAAACTTTACAACAGGAGTACCACTGGTGCCCATCAGCCATGCATCTGGATCCGAGAGACCGAGTCCGAGTCCGGGTCGTCCTGTATGGAGTCTGAGTTTGACTCCATATCTCAACATAATATCAAATCATACGTATCAGCCTCGACATTTTCACGGCTCGTGAGTGCGACTCAGTGTCCGGGGTCTTGGCAGAAGAGTCCGAGCCGTTATGACTCAGTCCGCGTCCGCGTCAGGGTCCCAGATTCTTGAGTCTGAGCCCATCACCTTCTTACGAGACCGAACAAGACCTAGAAGCTGATGACAAGTTGGATATCTCTGTCTTGCAAAACAAAATATGTAAGACGTGGCTTCAGCCAGGCCCGGCAAAGGCGCGAAGGATAAACTTAGTGGCACTCCGATCTGCGGTGAGTCTGCCATCGAATTCGGGGCAATTGGCTGAAATACGAACACCGCTGCGAAGTTTCAGTGAACGGCACTAAATCTTACGAAACGTAGCACACTGCACGAAGCACGTAGCATTCATTTTAATGAAGACCCAGCCGGGCTCAAGTCAAACCGACCGAAACAAGCCGACACACACAACTCAGCACCTGGAAGTTTAAAGGCTGCAGTAAACGGGAAGGCAATAGACTTGGCTTCGCATTATTGGAAAATGGAAACGCTCTGATCGTTCTTCCGCTTCGGAGAATGCAGGCCCTTGCGCTCTTGGTTTCCTGCTGAAGCATTCGCGAGCTTTGATCTGTAAAGCACTCCCCAGCGATAAATGTCCAAACCTTCCACAGCCTTAGACCTGCCTACCGCACGTTTGTTGGGAAAACACCGTGCCGGTCAGCACTCGACTGCGCTCATTACGCCGACGACACGCCAGCGGACAACCCTCCAAACAACATCATTCCCCGTGAAAAGGCAGTCACCGCGTGCGCCGGAAACAATGACGGCGCCCACGAGCGGGACAGCACTCACCGCGCGCCCACGCTGGATACCATCGACGGGCGTCAGTGCCGGCCGCCCTCCGACGGCCGCCGGCGGAGGCGACGGAACTCCAGACGGAGGTCACCTTGAGGGGTGGACACTGCCCTGAGTCGCCACGGACTCCAGACGGAGGTCACCTTGAGCGGTGGACACAGCCCTGAGTCGCCACGGACTCCAGGCGGAGGTCACCTTGAGGGGTGGACACAGCCCGGCGTCGTCACGAACTCCCGTGTAAAACGCTGCGAGGCACGGTAGCAGGGACACGTGGGCAAGGTTCGCCCGGGCACGCCTGTTGCCAACCGTGATCTTCGCGCACAAACAGACGGCCTTGTCTTAAAGAGACGCACGCATTCATTGCACTGTTCCAGTGCCTTCCTGTCCATATCCGTCCCAGCCGGTCCCCTCCCCACCAGGTGCGCGCGCTGACCTGCTGCTGGCGTGCGGGTCGTCGTCGGTGCTCGCCGCAGTCTGGCCACGGCTCGGGAGGGCCGAGCTCTGGCAGCACCGATCGACCGCCTGGTACAACGGGGCACGGCCAGGAGCGGAGCAGCGGCACCAGCGACAAGGTGAGCAGTGGAACAACGGCACCAGCGGCACGGTGAGCAGCAGGGCAGCGGCACCAGCGTCACGGCGAGCAGTGGAACAGCGGCACCATCGACACGGTGAGCAGTGGAACAGCGGCACCAGCGACACGGTGAGCAGTGGAGCAGCGGCGCCAGCGACACGGTGAGCAGTGGAACAGCGGCACCAGCGACACGGTGAGCAGTAGAGCAGCGGCACCAGCGACACGGTGAGCAGTGGAACAGCGGCACCAACGACACGGTGAGCAGTGGAGCAGCGGCGCCAGCGACACGGTGAGCAGTGGAACAACGGCGCCAGCGACACGGTGAACAGTAGAGCAGCGGCACCAGCGGCACGGTGAGCAGTGGAACAACGGCACCAGGGACACGGTGAGCAGTAGAGCAGCGGCACCAGCGACACGATGAGCAGCAGAGCAGCGGCACCAGTGGCACAGTGAACAGTGGAGCAGCGGCACCAGCGACACGGTGAGCAGTGGAGCAGCGTCACCAGCGACACGATGAGCAGCAGAGCGGCGGCACCAGCGACGCGGCGAGCAGTGGAGCAGTGGCACCAGCGACACGGTGAGCAGTGGAGCAGCGGTACCAGCGACACGGTGAGCAGCAGAGCGGCAGCACCAGCGACACGGTGAGCATTGGAGCAGCGGCACCAGCGCCACGATGAGCAGTGGAGCAGCGGCACCAGCGACGCACTGAGCAGCAGAGCAGCGGCACCAGCAACATGGCGAGGGGCAGAAGAATATCACTAGTGACGCGGTCAGTGGCATAGGAGTCGCAACATCGATACAGTCGAAGTAACGGAGCAGCAACTTCGACACGTTTGAGATAGAAGGGCGGCAACATCGACACGGTTGAGGTAACGGAGCGGCAACATCGGCACGTTCGAGGTAACAGAGCGGCAACATCGACACGGTCGAGGTAACAGAGCAGCAACATCGACACGGTCGAGGTAACGGAGCGGCAACATCGACACGGTCAATAACGGGGAATACCGATGCGGTCAATAGCAGCGAAGTGACAACAGCGGTGCTGTTCAGCTGCAGGAAAGTGGTAATACCGACAAGGTTAGTAACAGAGTAGTGGCACCGTCGACATGGTCAGTACCTGATACGTGAAATGAGAAATGTAACAGTGGTGACACCGGCACGGTGTTACCTGTTCCACCGGTATCAGAGCATTGACACCAGCGACACGGTCAGTAGCAGAGGGTAGCACTACCAAGATAGTCAGTGGCAGGGAGTTGATGACACCGGATCGGCAAGTAGGAGAGTGGTAACACCAGGAATGCGGACATTAGTGGAAGAGAGGCACCAGCGACACGGTGAGTAGCGGAATAGTGACACTACTGACACGGTTATTTATAGAGAAGTGGTAACATGGACACAGCTGGTAGCAGAGTAGTGACACCACTGATGTGTTAAGCGGCAGATGAGTGGTAGCATCGACACGGTTTGTAGCAGAGCAGTGATACCACACTAATATGGTTAGCAGCAGAGGGTGACACCACGGGTGAGGTCAGTAGCGAATAAATGGTAAAAGCGGCACGGTGAGTAGCAGGGCAGCGGTACCATCGACGGTCAGTAGCAGGGCGGCGGCACCATCGACGGTCAGTAGCAGAGCAGCAGCACCATCGACGCAGTCTGTAGCGAGCAACGGCACCATTGGGATGGTCAGCAGCAGATGAGTG